TTACCTGGATCAAGCCCATCGACAGACTTATATCTAAATTCAGGATATTATCTGTCGAAGTTCAAACACTGGCTCAGGATCGGGGATGTTCGAGACACTGCCTGACGACTCGAAAGGATAAACTGTCATCGAAACTAAATGACAATCCGACCTTACTTCCGAGATTACGAAATCAGACGACGTATCGCCTTCCAGTTACCGATTGCATAGCATCGGCATAATTTAAGAAGTTAGTTATTTCTCAAAAGATTAAATATTTTAATGTTGCCCACCCATGGAATCATAAGACTTGTCGGTTTTGTTACTATTCATACATGTTTAGTGAAATCAATCCTACAGCTGGTCCTAAGATCTGATGCAATCTTCCCGTAACCGGTCACCAATTGCAAGGATAGCGTAATTGTCATCTAATTGTGCCAACTCAGTTTTAGAAGTGTCCGTTAACGCAGGTCGCGTTGTTAGTAGCAGTCTGGTACGCTGAGAGAGGACAAACTGCATATGCAAACGTCACGCAGATCACACGTTAAACAATGAGCGTAGAATTTAACAACGCCTTGCAGCAGACTTTGCAACAGAACGCCATACTCATTGTTATTGACTAAAACGAAAGCTTACAAGCAATTGCTCTCGCAAGTTCAATATTCAACTTCGGAACCGAGTTAACGTATCCACTTTCAAACCCACCAATAGTCGCAGCTATTTTTTTCTTCACTATATTTAATATATCATATTTGACGCAACAATACTGTTGCAATCACTTCTAAGCATTCATTTCAAAAGAAAACAATGGAATCAGTATGCTAATGCAAGATGCGTATGATCGCACATACAAGGTAAAACCGTTGTGTCAGTGAACTACGGCATCTGCCGATGGTGACTTATAAAGAAGTTCAATTTGCACATAAATTTTTTTCAAACCTTCCTCACTAACTACCTAAAGTTTCAGATACACTAGAATCGACATCAGTTTCATCTCGCAATAGGCTTCCGATGAAAGAGCTAACAGCGGAAGTAAACATAATTTACACTGTGATCATCGATTTTCGGCATATTTGAAGTTCGACTGGACTGCTGCAACACAATTCCGTGAAACGCAAAGATAATCGGATATTGCATGAAACAGTAAGCGGTTATAAAAATATTACTTTAAGGTGTAAAATCACCTTCAAATTTAAAATTCAAAAACACACAAACCTGCCATGGGTTTAGCAGAAATGTCAGCTTCGCCTTTTTGTTTATGCGATTTTGAATTTCTGATTGCTTTACTCTTCTTTGCCTCGTTCAGTTCGAATTCTCTTATTAAGTCGTGACACATCAGATTGTCGGCTGGCTCCCATGTGTTTTCAGACGATGGAAAATTTTCCCATTTTAAAAGATATTCAACGCGACCGTTCTTCACTCGTTTTCCCACGATCTCTTCCACAGAGAATACATCGTCATCAGATTCTTCCGAGGGCGTAATTGAGCGCTTTTCAGCCATCCCTGAAAATTCCCGGGAAAACAACTAAAAATTTTGAATTCGCTTGGTGTACTTGCGAAAAAGGTGAAAATAGTTTGCATGTACCTATATCTTTATAACAATATGCTACAGTATAAATTTCTCTGAAAGGTATTTTAGAAAATCTCGCTCGAAAATAAAATTCAGCAAAAGAAAGATGGATAAAAAAATTCTTTTAATTCTTTTAAGTATCTCCTATCGTTTAAAATGAAAGTTGTATATGAAAAAGTACAAACTTCGAAGGCGCTGAGTTCTAGTACCGAGAACTTACGGAATTGGTTTTAACCACTAATTCCTTTGAACAGTTAGTAAAAGGTAAGTTCTAAGCATCTTATAGATCTGGATAGAATCGCAACGGATTTCTCTAATTGGATACAGACCGTGGGATCACGAAGGTAATGTTTCGGCTGCAGTATCGAGTGGAATTCATAGTTGATGTATAATAGGTTACCATCTATCGGCCAAGTGCACAAATTTTTATGCTGTTTCAGCAAAGCTATAATGGAGACCCAATTACGAGGAGATGGAAAGTGAAGGTGTGTTATCATAGCGCACATCTTGGTCAGCGCTCCATGCGATCGATTTCTGGTTTATGCTCCAGTGCGTAAACGTGTCACCACTCTTACGTTTCTAATAACGGCGACTACTACTCTATGATCCAAAAATTGCCATAAATTCGCCATTTTGGTGTCTGAATTTTAGACGCTCCTGATAGCACTAGCCGAAGATTCCAAGTCCTCGTGTTGTTACTTTTATTCCGCTTCCTGTGTGAGGGTACGCAATCTCTGAACTGTCTCATCAATAGCTTGCGATTGATGAACATCGCGCGAGGCCCGTTTAGTGTCCGAGGTGTGCGCGGGTTGAATCGATGTTTATGGGTTAGACGTGCCAACGATAAATAGAGGATGCCAGCGATAAATCTCGGAGCTCATCAAGGATCAGTGCCCTTGCTCTATCATCTGCTCTTTCATATTTATACCCCTGACGGTCAGGCTGGTTCACCTAGCATCTGTCTGAAATATGCTGACAATACAGATATGATCGCGATCCAACCTTACCTTGCAGAAGTGGAGAAGATGAAGAGCTGATCACGATTTAACTGACTGAGGCTGAACGTCAAGAATTTCTTTGAGAGCATTTATGTGCCTCGTAAAACCGGATCGTTCGTGATCCAGGAGGTAACATTGGCATCCTGCGCGGTTGGTGAGTCCGTCTCGCAGCTAAGGACTATGTTGCCCTTCGTTGCATACTCAAATTTTCTGCCGAAGCAGCTCGCCTGTCGTATGAACGGACCGTGTCAACCCTTGTGACTGACGTAGGCCTTCGCCAAGAAGATTCTCGGTGATTCGTCCCATCCTCTACAAGTCGAAGGTGAAAACGATGCACAATGAGTTAAGTCGATGTACATCGGAATCGAAAAGTTCAAACGTTTGGTTGGGCCTCATCCTCATCCGAACATTGAGGAAACTACAGATATTCAAGAATTCAATCCAGGGGAGTCTGCCCTAAATGTTTCTTTGTATAATAATATTGCTTCGATAGTTTTTAGTATAATATTGCCTTATAGATAATATTTAGTATTGTTTTATAGCTTCCGGACCTGCAGCTGAAAGGTAGGTAGGTTTTATCTGCCATAGCAATAAACTTCAATTCAATTGAACTTCGTGACTACCTCATTAATCGCCGATCTAACGGCACCGTCGTAACTTCAGTGTTCATGAACCGGCAAACATCTATCACCACTTGAATTGCCACTCCAACAATGTCATGACAACAAATATATGTATGGTAAGAAACGCGATTATTACCAAAGACCGATCTGGCATGATATATCAGATCAATTACTGAGCTTGCAACGCTTTTAACATCGCGCAAACATTAAAACCACTCAGTGTTAGGATAAAGAGCAACGTGACAACCAAA